CTCCATTCTTCCACTTAAAATATTTGGTTGTACTATTTTTATCCAAAACATTGCTCCTAATAAGTCTAAGCTAGATCTTAAATCATTAAAGTGTGTACTGGTTGGGTGTTCTTCACTTAAGAAGGGTTATAAATGTTATCATCCTCTTTCAAAACGATTTTTTACCACTATGGATATAACATTTTATGAGCAGGATCCCTATTTCACTCAAGCTAAAATTCAGGGGGAGACATGGAAGGATTTTCAGCCACATCAGGTATCTCCTCCTACTCTTCATTCTCAACCTTTAGAATTGCCACCAATTTTATCCTTACCTACAGATTTGTCACCTGTAACTACTCCCATTGATCCACCGGTAGTACCTATCACTACTTCACCCATACCCACTTTAAATACCCTTCCTAAAAATACACCTACTCCCATTCAAAATATTCCACAAACAACACCAATCAAACAACTCCGTCTCTATACAAGGAAAATAAAACATATTCCTGAGGTTGTTTTGCAATATGATGCTTACCGAGAATTGGATTTGGGTCCAGCTTCCGAAATAGAAGAAGAAATCAGTAAGTCCACTTCCCCTACTCTAGATGACTTCCCTATTACTATTAGAAAAGGGGTTAGACAGTGCACCAAGCATCCTATTGAAAAATTTGCTGGTTATAATTCATTGATGTCGTCTTTTCAAGCATTTATAGCAAACTTGGATAAAGAACAGGTTCCCACAAGCATAGTTGAAGCTCTAAAGGATTCAAAATGGAGAAGGGCTATTGAAGAGGAAATTTGTGCACTGGAGAAAAATGCTACTTGGACTGTTACGGACCTTCCTCAAGGAAAAAAAGGTTGTTGGCTGTAAATGGATCTTTGCTGTAAAGTATAACTTAAATGGTAGCATCCAACGATACAAAGCGAGACTAGTGGCCAGAGGCTTTACACAAACATATGGGATATATTTCACAGAAACTTTTGCACCTGTGGCGAAGCTAAATATTGTTCGAGTACTCCTAAGTTTGGCTGTAAATTGCTATTGGAAATTACACCAACTTGATGTAAAAAATGCTTTTCTTAATGGCAAGCTAGAAGAAGAAGTCTATATGAAGTTGCCACCTGGCTTAAAGTCTGTTGAAGGAAGTAACAAGGTGTGCAAGCTCAACAATTCTCTATACAGGTTAAAACAATCACCCAGAGCTTGGTTCGAGAGGTTCACTAAAGTCATCCTAAAAAACAGCTACTAGTAATCCCTCGCCGATCACACTCTTTTCATCAAGGTAACTTCTACAAATAAGAAAGTTATACTTATTGTGTACGTGGACGACATAATTTTTACCGGAGATGATAAAGAAGAGATTTGCAATTTGAAGAAGTTGTTAAATAAGGAATTCGAAACCAAAGACTTGGGAAAGCTAAGGTATTTCCTAGGAATGGAGGTGGCAAGGTCAAAAGAATGACTTGTGATCAACCAAAGAAAATATGTACTTGATTTACTCAAAGAAACTGATTTTCTTGGTTGTAAGCCGATTGATACACCAATGGAGGCAAGCTTGAAATTTAACAAAGAAGATGTGTCATTGGTAGACAAAGAGAAATTTCAAAGATTAGTTGGAAAACTAATTTATTTATCCTTGACAAGGTCAGATATAGCATTTCCTGTAAATGTGATAAGTCAACACATGACTAATCCTACTGAAGAGCATATGGCAGCAGCAAATAGAATTCTCAAGTACTTGAAGAAAACTACAGGCCACTGTTTAATGTTTAAGAAGACACAAGATAGAACTGTTAAGATCTTTACAGATTCTAGTTTGGCCGGAGACCTTACTAAAAGGAGATCCACTAGTGGCTACTGCACCTTTGTTTGGGGAAACCTTACAACTTGGAGAAGTAAGAAACAATATGTCGTTTCAAGAAGTAGTGCTGAAGCTGAATTTAGAGCACTAGCATTGGGAATATGCAAAGGAATTTGGCTACTTAAACTACTAAAAGAACTTGTCACTAATCAAGAGGATCACTTTGAAGTTTTGTGTGATAATCAATTTGCTATTCAAATTGCCAAGAACCCAGTTCAACATGATTGGACAAAGCATGTTGAGATTGATAGGCATTTTATTGCTGATCAAGTTAACAAAAAGACAACCACACTTTCATACATTCTTTCAGAAGAACAAGTTGCATACATTCTTACTAAGGCTTTGCCAAAGCATGTTTTCAATAAATTCCTATTCAAGTTGGGATTATACAATGTATATTCTCCAGCTTGAGGGGATGTAGGAATTATAGAGATGATTTGTTACCATTCCTATAGAGATATGATTTGTTATCATTCCTATATAGATATGATTTTGTAAATAGATTTCTACAATCCCTTATTTTAAGGGATCATATCCTAGGATTATTATTTTTCTTTTCTTAGAGTTTCCTACTTTAGAGAGAAATTTTGTATATAAATATGTAATCTGTCATATTGAAAAGAATAAGAAATTCCAGAGAATTACTCTGATTTCTACAAATATATGTTCAAAGATAATTTTTATTAAGTTAAATAAACGAGAACAAACATAATTTTTATATTAATTTAATAAATGAATGAATATGAATAGAAGGAGTCTGTTCGGTTTATTTATATTTACGAACAAACTCGTTTATAAGTTTGTTTACTTTGTTATCCTTTTCTTTTTGTTCTTTTACATTTTGAATAGGCATAATAACAAAATCACCCCCAACATTTGCACCAAAGGTCATTTTACCCCTATCCTTTTTTGAAGCATTTTACCCCCTAACATTTTATTTTGTAGCAAAATGTCCTCTGATTAGATGAAAATCATTAGTTGACTAATGGTCAACGCTTTCTATTGATGTGGTAGGTCTAAATGTGATGCCACATCATCAAAAAATAAATTTTTAAACTATTCTTTAAATATGTTTTTATAAGTGTGTATGTAATTAATTACAATTATAGTTTACTATAAAAATATCTTTTGTTGGCGTGACATCACATATGTACCAACCATGTCAATAGAAAGCATTAATTGTTGGTTAACTAACGCTTTTCATCTAATTAGAGGATATTTTGCACCAAAATGAAACGTTGGGATAACATGCTCCAAAAAAAAGGATAGGGGCAAAATGACTATTTGTGCAAACGTTGGGGGTAATTTTGTTATTATGCCTTTTGAATATTGGTAAAGATATGAACTAAATTGAACATTATGTGAATTTTGGAGTTTAAACTATGAAGTTTAAGGAACTTAAGAATTAGTGATATAATTTCACTATTTTTTTATTTGCAAATGAAAAAAAACAAAAAGAGTATTGATGGACGAATATTGAATGAACGTGAAATAAATACGTTCGTAAATATTATACGAACAAATACTAATACATTTAAAAATAAATATATGACTATAAATCAAACATAAACATCTTTAAATATAAACAAACAAACGAATAACATTGTAATAACTTACCCTGGGTGATTATCTCATCTTGATGTCGTAAACATGTTGCTGTAATTAAATCAAGTGTTGTCACGCAATAATCATTGTATATCTTAAGTCAACAATATCTACTTAGGGTGTCACTGTTCATAACCAACACCACGTTTTCAAAGGAATGGCGACTTGCCACCCTTACTCGTTGACATGATTAAAATTGATAACGCAATAGAAATACTTTCTTATTTATTAAATAATACTACGAATCGTTATTCTTTCCGCCGACAGACTTAAAAGAAACCTTGAACAACGAAATCTATACAAAATACATAGTTTGTCCTTTAATTGGAGAAGCTAAAAAGCTTTTATACAACATTATCCGACATATATTATTTAATTCAAAATATAATTTTTATTAATATATTATATATAATGATTTAAACTTATATTATAAAATAATTAATTAAATATTTTATTTTAATAAAATTTAATGTCCTTGAATTAGAATGGGAAGATATGTATATATTTTAATGTAACTATACCATCAATCTCCAAAGAAAGAAAGAGAAGCAAATGGACAAGAGACAAAGGTTCCCATGATTTAATGCATAGGCTCGGTGGTTCACATGCAGGTGATCACTGATCACAGAGAAGATGAGGCTGAGATTCGGGTCGCCCCCCTGCCCATTTCCCTATCTTTTGTTCATCGGTTTTTTGGTTTAATTAATGGGACACTGGCCTACGTGTTTGCTTCTGCATGAAACCCCAAAAACAAGCCACGAGTTCCCCCACGTCTTGAATTATCATGCAAGTAGGGTTAGATCAGCAGAGAGATACGGAAGAGTTGCCCATAGATTGGGGGTCCCAATTCCTTCAGAACCTAGAAATCAGAGTCCCACCCCCTTACCCCTTCCTCGTGATATGTTTCTTCCGCCACGTCATCTCATGCATATTTTAGTTTAAGTTTTGAATTTCTTAGGCCCCTATAATAATGGAACTCGGATTCAATGTACATCAAAGATGATAAAATCGCAAATGCCATGAACACTTATGAATGGGAATATTTAAAGTTAATAAATGATAGAGAATTAACGTAATTGAAAATATAATAAGAAATATAATATAATATAATATGTAAAGCACAATCTAAAATATTATTTTACTTAATATTTTCGATTCAACAAAAAGATATTAAGAAAATTTTAATATTTTAATTTGAACCCAACCAAAAATATTATATTTTTTATTACACCTATTTTCTATGTTCTTTAATATTATAATAGGTTGTAAATATTTATAAATTTAATGATTATTTTATATCAGTTTAAGAAATTTAATAATTATTTAATAATTGCTTAAAAATAATTATTGTTTTATAACTTGCGAAACTTTAATGATCAAGACAATCATTATAACATAGTTTAATGACTCGTGATATACTTTAGCCAAAAGAAAGAAACAATTATAAATGTCAACTTGGTAAATATTCTAAAACCCGAGGGCTATTTGATGGTTGAGCATGCATATAAGTCCTTTCCCCCTAAACAATATCATACCTGTTTACCTGTTTCTTGTATTTTATTTCTCTTATTGGAGATTAGACACTAGAGTTTGTAGGAATGCGAGGGGTCGTTTTGTTGTCGGTGCTCCTATGCGCCATCCACCGTATCGCACTTTCTGCAACCGCCGGTACGGTGGCGGACGGTAAGAACTTTGTATACATACATGTTTGCATGCATGTTTGTATGTATATTCATACATAATCTCTTTTTTTTTAACTTTTTATATATTGAAAAACTATTTTCTCTTAACCGATTATCTGATTCAGAGATATGGGGACGTACGTAGAATTTTATGTTAAGGGGTAAATTTAAACTTAGGGAGATTAATATAAATTTACAAAGTTCCAGATGAATAAAAATAGATTTTTCAATAAAAATATATAAAATAATTTAAAATATGTAATAATTTTAAATTTTCAGGATGATTATTTCATCCGCTCTCCCGATCCATCTCTGATTGGAACTTAGGATTTTTGTTTGGCATCGAGTCGCATGATTAGTTGTTAATAAAGTTTAAACCTAGTCATAAAACCTAGGTTTCAATAATATATCCCTACAACAGATATCTTTTATTATGCTCCTTTGATTATAAAAATACTATTAATATAAAAAATGTTTAATTATTATATATTAGTTATTATATTAAGGATATAATGAAGGGATTAGTACTTTAGTGGAAATATAATCCTCTAAAAAAATTTAAATTATTATGTAATTGAATTTTTTATATTTATTATTGATAATATATTTTTATTTTTTAAGATTTTATAAATTATTTCTTAATATAAAATTCTTGTTTATCCGAACTACAATATATTGTTAAATTAGTATTTAGAAGTTTTATTTTTATTTTAAATTTAAAATATAATGGAAATTAATATGATTATTATCTTTTAAAAAAAAGCGACGCCTTGCTTAATTAACCTATTGGACGGTCGTGATAAATTGAAGTGGTGGAGAACCACACTACTACGCAGTTCAACTGTGGAGAGCAGTAAATAGTATAGCTTGTTACCCTATTAGCTTACTATTTTTAGTAAATATGCCAAAGTTTGCCGATCAGTTTCTATTTTCGGACATCTATTAATTTATCTAAGACGTTTTATAATTAATGTAAACATGAAGTCATAATTGGATTTTGATGATGTGTGGCCTTATTGAATTTCAGGGCTGTTAGAAAATGGTAACTTCGAGCTAGCTCCCAATGCCTCGAGCATGAAGGGCACCGTCGTGGTGGGGCGTTACGCCATACCGAGCTGGGAAAATGAGGGCTTCGTCGAGTACATAAAGTCGGGGCAAAAGCAGGGCGACATGTTGCTGGTGGTGCCCGAGGGAGCCTATGCGGTCCGGCTGGGGAACGAGGCATCGATCAAGCAGAAGATAAAGGTGATCAAGGGGATGTATTATTCCATCACGTTCAGTGCCGCTCGCACTTGCGCTCAAGAGGAGCGGTTGAACGTCACGGTGGCACCCGATTCAGGCGTGCTGCCGATCCAGACGGTGTACACCAGCAGCGGTTGGGACAACTATGCATGGGCGTTCAAAACAGAATCCGACGTGATCACGTTGATTATTCACAATCCGGGCGTCGAGGAGGATCCGGCGTGCGGACCACTCATCGACGCGGTTGCTATCAAGGCTTTATATCCTCCTAAGCCTACTAACAGTGAGTTTCCTTTTTATAATCATTGATATTTGATTTATTGATCGATTAATTCATAACACAAAGAATTAAAATTTTAAATTTCTTATTGGCGCAGAGAACATACTGAAAAATGCTGGTTTTGAAGAAGGTCCATATATATTCCCCAACACTCCATGGGGTGTCCTAATCCCACCCAACATCGAGGACGATCACTCGCCTCTCCCCAGTTGGGCAGTCGAGTCCCTCAAGGCCGTCAAGTACATCGATTCCGCCCATTTTTTCGTGCCTCAAGGCCGAAGAGCCGTGGAGCTAGTCGGCGGGAAAGAGAGCGCCATCGCTCAAATAACAAGAACCATCGTCGGCAAAACATACAGGATGTCGTTCTCGGTGGGAGACGCTAACAACTCTTGCGCAGGTTCTCTGGTCGTCGAGGCATTCGCCGGTCAGGCTACGCTCAAAGTCCCGTACGCGTCCAAGGGCACTGGTGGATTTAAGCGAGCTGCATTGACGTTCAAGGCTGTTTCCAACAGGACAAGAATCATGTTCCTCAGCACGTTTTACACTATGAGAAGTGATGACTTTTCTTCCCTATGTGGCCCTGTCGTCGACGATGTGAAACTTTTGAGTATCCGTCAACCATGATCAAGTCAACCTTGTTGATGAAGCAATGTCGGATATGGTCTATGATATACACATATATATTGGACATTTGTCATACTAAGAATGTTTTTTTTATAAAAAAAACAAGGGTTTTCATGTGAGCTAAATTAGGTTATATATTAATCCAACAAAATAAGAGTATATAATACTAATATGAAGTTATGTAGTATACTAGTGTGATTTTATTACTTGTTTAATTATGTATTTTTACCATAATAAATGTGAAAATTAGTTGATTATTATTTCAACTTTTTATTTCAAATATTTAAACTTTTAGTATTTTTTATCAAAATAAATTTATTATTTATTATTTTTAATTAAGATAATGACAGAGTTTAAATCTATAATGATAGAGTAATAATTTACATAAATATATAAAAGAACATGGTTTATGTATTTTTTAAGTTTAAATTATATTTTTAGATGTTTTTTTATAATGTAAGTGTTTAAATTATTATTTTGCATTCAATTTCTATTTTTTTTTATTAATGTTGATACTTGAAGTTTCAATATATAATTATTTTAACATCGAACTTTTAATGATTATATAAAATAATATCTGATGAAGAAATGGCATGTGGCCACTTTGATGCCAAGTGAAACTATTTGTTTTGGGCAATCAACAGCTCTTGGGACATGCATGGATCAAGAATTTGCATAACCAAGAGTGTGAACCATCAATTTTCAACTTCATTGTTGTGTTTAGCTTCTATATATAGATAGATAGATGCAACGTGCTTATCGATTACCCTAACTGCTGAACCGTTTTTACTTGATAAAAGACTTAAATATGCCTCCTTTGAAATTCATTGTTGCAGATTAAGATCGATCCAGGCAGTGAGGCATCCTGCGTCCTTGCCCATTCTATTGTGTCACGGCTTAGGTACTAAAGGGGCAAGATGCAGGAGCCTGCATACAGTCGTAGCTTTATAGTTTTTATCAAGAGATCTTGAGCTTCGTTCTATCTGTGCTATAATGTGTTTCAAACTTGTATCTGTTACGCCGGGGACTTTTAACTGCCTTGATATCTAGGCAAAGTTGTGACAATTATGACAAGTAATCTACCAATGGAGAAAATCATAATAAAAATGAAGCGTTATTCAACATTAGCTTTTATATCTGACAAAAAGCAAGAAAAGTGGGCTTTGGTTGAGCGGCAGCATGTTTGGTGACTCCTTCCTCTAATCAAATCCCAAATGAAAAACCATAAGACTGACAAGTAAATGGAATAAATAGAGAAAAAAACGGAAAATACAGATCAGGGGGCAGAAATATTTCTGGAAATATGTCCACTACTCGTGTGGCCGTTTTAATGCCTGCATTTCGGATAGTACCAAATCATGCATATAAATAGCAGAATGCTATGTAAGTAAATTAAAACCACATGCAAAACCTTAAAGGTCTAAGTTTTTAAGAGCAAGGTAACCACCGATCTTTGAATCCCAAGTACAATCCAACATAGGAATACCTAATGTACTATAATGTAGCAAAAAGTAGAATAATTCGGTTTTTGGTTACAACATTCACATGATAAACGGCCAACAAAATGGAACAACTTACTTGAAAGTGCAGGTTCCATAATCAACATTTGCTCCTATTTTCTTGCAAATCGTTTTTACTCTGAGTACCGCTGCCTTTTGAATCAGTGCAAGGAGTGAGAGGTGGGAAAGAAGGCACAGCTTTTAGTATGAACTTGCGGCCACTTCTTAGTGGTCCTGAAGAGCTTGATCCAAGCTGGTGCAAATTGTGAGGAGGTGAGACTCGCTTGCCATTAGGGGAACCTGCTTTCACAGGCTTAACGGGCATAGAAGTGTCTTTCAAGATCTCTGGCATATCATCCTCCAAAATGTCAAAAAGGCCACCATCAGCAGAGTCAAGCCCCTGAAGGTTTTTGTTCTCATCTAAAGGAGACATTGGTGTAATAGGTGAACTGTGCCAAAGAAGGGAACCTCCTGAAGAAAGAGAACCACTTCTAGGTTCCAATTGGAACCGTGAAAGGTTTGTCAATTCCCTTGCTTTAGACAATGATGAACCTATAACGTTTGAGGGATGATTGGGCAGTGGAGTGTGATGGAATTCATCAGCAAGCACAACGACATTATTATAGCCAATTCCCTCACAGTAAGATTCAATATCCAATTTTCCTTTACTTGTTTCCAGAAGCATGTCATTGCTATCAGAAGTTCTAGGAGATCTTGGAGATTTTGCATAAGATAAGATGGTAAGATCAGACTCGGGGGAAGGAAGGCATCTCCTTGAAAGAAGTTTGGATATGGATGCTTTCTTTCCATGGCTGAATAGAAATGTAAGTTATAAGCAATAAAGAAGTTGAATAGGTATTGTTTAAATTTTTCTTAAATGAAACTAGGACACCATAATTGTAAATCTTACTCTGAGCACTGGAATGAAGGTGTCAAAGGTGTAAGATGGTGTGGATCAAACAACTCAGAATGCAATACATCCTTAGGTTTAGCAGTCACTCTTCTTTCCAATCCTCCTCCACTTCTGTTGATCATTTCTTCAGTCACACAGTAGTCTGGAAATTTAGAATAAGGATTAAGGAGTATAGTGATTCTCAATTCTTACTTACCAAAATACTAATTTCAGCCAAAAATGAACCCTAAAATGATGTTGGAAGGAGAGCATATTTCTTTAATGTCTAGTATTGTAGATTATGACTAGAATACACAGAAAGACAATCCATAATGATATTTCTTGAAACTAACCTTCCTTCTTGCCATAGACATTTTTACAGCCCTCACATCGACATCCAATAGAGCAACCAACATTAGCCTTTTTCAATATAAAAAGAAGATTCATGAGTCCAACAACAATATACTAAAAGTGATTACATAGAAAACATAAAGATGATTCGGGCGGCAATGTAATTCCAGACCTGGTAGCATTCACAATATTTTTTCAGACACATTGACCTTTTGCAGTTGCACCCTCGTTTGTGTCTTGCTGAGGATGGTGTCTTCCGGTTTCCATCTTCCTATGAAGGGAAAAATGACTGAAAATGACTATCAGGGAAAAGAAAAATAAATCAAAAGGCTTCGGGATTCAGGAATTGTATTATACCCTGTTGCTTAAAGGAAACTCAGTGAATGGTTGTACAATCTTGGGAGCAAATGCTAGTGGATTACGTGATTCAATTTGATTACGTGTTTCAAGAACTGTATCTTCATATTCAGGTCTGTTGAGGCAACCTTGGCAGGAACAAGGTTCAGAACAATAGATTCCAGCAGCAAAACAATCACAATAGCTGAAAAGGAGAAAATTAGCATATGTTGTACCAATAGAGCTATGCTACACATATAACAGGACTTCGAGTAAAACAGAATTCACTAACAGTTTCAAGCATTTGGTCCTTTTGCAATTGCAACGCTTGCAACCCTCACCATCTGTGTTGTTTGATAATTTCTTCCTATAGAAACTTAAACTATTAATGGACCTAATTATTAAGAGAAAGTTATAACTGTGAATCAACCAGAAGTATTGGAAAAACTTGCCTTTTCTTTTTGGGGCTTTGTTGGTCAAACACTTCATCACTATTTCCATCCTCTGAGCTAACTTTCCTCTTTGTATTCAGAGTCATGTTACACTCGATTGATTCCATGGCACTGAGTGATTCTGATACAGCAGAATCTGCAATTGTACAAACAGTCACTTCTAGTGTTCCATCTTGAGGAGGATCTGATGCTTTCTCAAATTCATCTGAGCAGCTGCCCATGTTTTCAGTTGACTGACATGTTGATTTTATAGCCTGTGCCAATTCCATGCTTGCACTTCCACCTTGAGCCATCGGTATAGCATTAACAATGCTGTTTAGGTGTAAGCCAATACCTGATGGTTTGGGAACAGTTAAGGATGACTTTTCGCCATAACACTGAGGAATCAAGTTTATTGCTAATTGGGACAAGTTAACAAGTTGACTTGTTCTAGGTGCAACACTTGAAGCAAGATGAGATGAGCTCAAACCCTCAGTTTCAGAAGTTGTAGCAAATGATGTTGAAGAGATAAGATTATCTGCCAAATTTGTAGAAATGCTGCAGTTTGCTCTAGCTTGTGGTTGAGCTTCTCCAAATTGAAGGCAACGCCTACTCATGCCGCGTTGGAGTTCATTAGCCTACATTGACTGTTTAAATTATTCTATAGCAGAAGGAAAATCTAGCAGCATTTAATGACCAAAGAGGAAAAGGGAAAAAGGTTCACAGAGCAATATGAATCCAGTAATCTATTTTTTATATCTCTATATCACATCTACTTAAAATCTTTTTATACCTCAAGATCATGTGTCATGCTATGAACTGGAACACTCACATTCCCACCAACATTTTCAGTAAAATCTTCATACAACTGAACCCCCCGTAAAGATCCAGGCAGCTGTTGAAGGAAACCATTGCATCCATCACCATGATCCTCTACTAATTTCTGCCAAAAAGAAAGGAAAAAAAAGACTGAGATATGCATATTCTATCACCTATCCAATTGGATGGTTGAAGATGGAAACAACTATTACCTGAGGAATCAAGTTTTTGTACTCTTTTTCCTTGGACAAAAGATCAAATGTATCGGACTCAAACTTTTGGAATTCATCAGATAACCCTTGAGCAGCACCTTGCTCGTTTTCAATCTTCAATGATTTGTCATCAGAGTTTAACTTTCTATCAATGTTTTCTTCACTCAGCCCAGACAATAATTGAGCTGCATCAACCTCACTCCCCACATTAGTTTTGTTTCCAATTTTAATATTCTTTGACTCAGCTAAACCGTTAACTGAAGATTGAAGCACATTATTAGATTGTTTCAAATTTGAATTGACCGCATACGCAGAGTTCACGCAGTCTGCTTCCACGGGGTCAGCCAAGTATTCATCAATACATCCAGAGGAACTACTGGGTTGGACTGGCACATTGTCCTTGTTATCATCTTCCTTCTTAATATCAATGACCAATCCATCTTGAAATTCAGTAAGAGATCTTTCTAAAATGCAGGATTCATGAGTTCTTTTCTTGTCCCCTTCACCATTTTGAGATACTTCCACACTGGATGACTGAGGCCTGGAAATAAGGTCTCATGCAATCAGAGCTCAAACAAGAAGCACTCTAAATTGAAAATGATAAAGCCAAAATTCAAAGGTAGACAAACCTTCCAAGTGTATTTATA